ACCCTTCCTCCCCATTTTCCTTCTTTCCATACATCCAACCATCCACCCATCTATTATCAATCCTTTCTTCTGCTTTCTCCCTTCCATCCACCCTCCCATCTACACTTCTATCCGTTTATCCTTATTTTCATCCATCCATCCATCCATCCATCCTTTCATCCATCTAGCCCTCTAAGCATTTTAATCTTTTAATCTACCCATCTGTCTACCCGCCCATCCCTCACGTCATCTATCCATACAACCTTCATCCTTTCATCCATACAAATATTTACTCACCAATCCCTCCAGTCGTTTACCTGCCCATCTTTCCATCCCTTCATGCTTCCATCCACCCACCCATCCAAACCATTCAACTACCACCCAGCAAACATGCCTGCAGTGTTCTCTCCAGGTCAGCCCCTAGTCTCCAAGTCCCCACCCATGGCGCCCCTCTGGCCGGCTCAGCCCACCCGCCCTGGCTCACTTGCTGTCCAGCAGGTCCATGATGGGCTGCAGCACATTGTCGGCATCCTGGGCCACACTGCTGCAGGCACTGGCTGGCACATTGCCTGTGCCCTTCACCTGGCTAAGGATGTCGCCCATCTGTTTGACACACTCCTCAATGTGCGGCTGGAAGCTGGTGGCATAAAGCGGGGGGAGCTCAGACCAGACTCTCCTGGCCTCTGGAAGAAGGGCCAGATTAGGCCACGAATGCTGATTTGTTGACCTTGACCTTTTATCACCAGTATCAGTGAGACATGGCATAAAACTGAGCAGAGGGGTGGGAGTGGTGGGTGGGTGGGCATTAATAATAGCAGAATTGGGCACTGGCTAAGACATTTGTGTTGTTCATTTCATCACACAGTCCTACTCAGGTACTGTTGTTATCATCATCCCCACTTTACAGATGAATTAACTAAGTCTCAGAGAGGTTACTGACTCACCCAAGGCCACACAGCTAGTAAGCAGTGAAGCCAGGATTGAAATGAATTTTGTCTCACTCCAAGCCTGATGTCTTCACCACTACATCTGCTGTCTCCGGATGCCCCAAGCTCAGAGGTCTGGGGGTTGCCCCCTCCCTTCTGCCCCCAGCCCTGGTGATGCCCCCACCTGGTAGCAAACACCCGGCTGAGCTCATCCAAGACATTGTTGAGTTTCACCTGGAGCTCCTTTAAGATGTCACTGGCCTCAGCATCCAGCTAAGGAGGGGGAAGGGACATCAGGTCAGGTTTACAGAGCATCCACATATCTGGGGCATTTTCCTATCCAACCCAGGGAAAGGGACCCCAACAGACTAGAGAGGAAACACATACAGGAAGTGAAGCCACTTGCTTGGGTCTGAGGGAGTAACCAAGCTGGAATTCATCAGGTGCAAGCTCTAGGGACTGCAAGGAAGTGGGGTGGGGGTGGGGGGTCCCACCTCACCTCCTTCCTGGCCCCACCTCACCTCCTTCCCTCCCATGGCTTCGAACATCTTCTCTAGCTGAACTCGCAGCTGCTGAGTGTTGTTCATGAGGATGCAGGGCTAAGGATGAGAACAGAGAGGGGAGTCAGGGCTCAGGACCCCTCCTCCCCAGAGCCTCCTCCACCCACCACCAGGGACCCTGGGTGGTTTTAGGGTCTGGGTCTGGGTCTGGGGGAAGCTGGGGTCCCACCAGGTCATCTGAGAATGGAAAACAGCATTTGGGACCAGGTTCCTGAGTGTGTTGGGGAGGGTGGTCTCTGAGGACCCATAGAAGGAAGGAAGACTCAAATAAGTGGGCTGGGCCTCTGAGAGTAGCAGGAAAGGGAGTTCTTATCACATACCCTACGTGGGCTCAAAGCTTTGTATGCTCACATACATACACCCTGAAGGATTCATTGGTAACTAGACAGTGGCACACTAAGGGTATGTCCCCTCACCTCCAGATCTCCCCAGACACACATAGTTGGACACACACACACAGACACAGTACTCAGAGCCCAGGGAAGGGTGGAGCCCTGGGGGTACAGAATGGGGCTGGCAGGGGACAGGACAGGGGCCCCCACAGGTCACCACTTTCTCCTTCTCCTTGGAGCAGTAGGAGGCGAAGTCCTTGGAGATGATGTCCGCATACTGGAGGAGCACATTACTGATGGTCTGGGGAGGACATAGGGTAGTTGAGAGGAGGGGCTGGGGCTGGGTGGGCCCATCAAGGGCCACTAGTGAGATGAGAGATGAACTCAAACCCACTTTAGCACATAAGATGGACAATTGGGCTGGGAGAATTCTCCACCCAGGATGGCCATCATGATCAAGGAAAGACACCACCATGTGAATATGATTACTTTATGTAGACTCAGCTCTTTTTCAGAGCACCCACCCATCATATTAACCCAGCCCAAATCACAAGCATGACCTGATCCCAAAAGAATCTCAATTTCTACCTGTACCGCCCCCCCCAACTTCAACAAAGCCTAAAGCAAATCCAATTGAACCTAAACCCAGTCCAATAATCTCAACCTCCAAACTTACCCCAGGGCCCACTCAAATTTTACATAAATCTGAACACTCACTCTAATAATGCTAAATCGAATTCTAATCCTAACAGTAACCCTAAACCCAAACCCAACCTCAACCCCATCCCCAACCCTGACCCCAGCTCCAAATTCAACTCCAACTTTAATTACAACATTGACTTCAACCCCAACCTCAACTCAAACCCTGTCCCCAACCACAACTCCAACCACTATGGAAGGACCAACCCCAGCATTTACCCTAACCCCAAACTCAATCCCAGTGATATCACCAATTCCAACTTTGACCTCAAACCCAACCCCAACCTCAATCCTGACCTCAACCTCAAATTCAACCTCAATCCAAACCCCAATACCAACCTCAACTCCAATCTCAATGACATTACCAATCCCAACCTCAACTCCAATCTCAATGACATCACCAATTTTAATCTCAACTTAAACTCCAATCTCAAACTCTAACAATTCCAACCTCAATGACACCATCCACCCCAACCTTGACCTCAAACCCAACCTCAACCCAAATCTTGTCCCCAACCACAGCTCCAACTTCTATGGCATGATCAACCCCAACACTATGGTTTGGGTTGGTCATTCCACAGACCTCAATCCCAACCTTCATCCCAATGATATCACCAACCCCAACTTTGACCTCAATCCCAGCCTCAACCCCGACCCTGACCCCAATCCCAAACTCAACTCCAACCCCAACCTTGACGCTATCCCAACCCCATCCCCCACCAGGACCCCATCCCCAACCCCACTAGCACTCTTGCACCTTGGCAAAGCGCCTCATATAGTGCCCCACGATCTGGGGGTCAGGGCACTCAAGTTTCTTGATGATCTCAAAGCTCTGGTTGAGCTGGGAGAAGACGTCCACCACAGAGCAGGAAAACAGGGCATGCTCTGAAGTCTGCTGGAACTGCAGAGGGAGGGAAGCCAGGAGAGAGGAGAGGGGTCAGAGGCTGACAGTCCCCAGAGCTGAACCCTCTCACTCCCATGGGGACAGCCAGAGACCAACTGCCCTGGGATGAAAAGGATAGTGTATGAGGTTGACCTAGAGCTGGATGCAGAGGCCACAGTGTGGGTGGGTGAGTGGTCAGAACTGATAAACTCACATTCGCTTGTTGAATGAACAAAAGGCTTTAAATACCATAAACAAGACAAAGATTGTGGATACCCCTCAGAGACTGGCCTTATCCCAAGGGCAGTTTTTGCCCCCAAATTGGATCTCAATGGACTCCAGAGAGAGCGAGGCCACTGTGGTAGACTAGGAGCTTGGTTGTGGGTCAGCCTTCTCACCCCATCCTTCTTGTCTCGCTCCAGGGCTCCGTGCAAGAAATCCCGGGACACCTCCTCATTCTCGTCCAGCCACTGGATGACGAAGGGCTCAAACCACCTGGAATGGAGAGGCAGGGTGGGGCTCTGCCATCTCCTGTCCCCATGACCCTCTGCTCGAACTCACCCTTTGGTCTCGGGTGGTTATTCCCCTGCTCCACACCCCCACCAGGCCTCAGTTACTTTGCCCAGAGCAAGGCCCAGACTTGTGGGAATCTTGGTTGATAAATTGCCCATGGGCAAATGGGTTTACTCTCTGAGACCCCAACACGGCACATAGTAGGTCCCAGGTAAATGGAGGCCACCAACCCACTCTCCACCACAGACATCCCAAGTTCAAGTCAAGCTCCGTCACTTATCAGATGTCACCTTGGAAAAATCCTTCAGCATTTAACTCTCTATTTCTTCATCCACAAAATGGAAATTATGATGCTCCCGTCTCATAGAATTGTCAAAAGGATTAAATGAGAAGAGACACATGGGACTGCTCAGCACAGTTCCTGACACTTATAATTATTAATTGTCTGGCTATAGGAGTCCATAGTCCAATGATTAAGAATGGAGAACACACCAGGTTTGAGCTCCACCTGTGCCCACAATGCCCAGAGAACCCTGAGTAAGTAAGCCGTCCTCTCTGGGCCTCAGTATAGCTGTCACCATTATAGTTCTGCTGGGTTCTGGGCAGGGGACTTACGCAGGGTACTCAGGTACTCGGTCCTTGAAAGCAGGAAGCTCTGCCACATACTCATTGTAGAGCCACTTGACCTTGAAGTGGAGGTTCATGTAGTCGGCACTCTTGCACAAACGATGCTTGTCATGCTCTGGCAGGAGGAGCAGGAGAGAGGCTCAGCTGGGGGGGTCTGCCACCCTCTGACTCATCAGGGCCCACTCTGGCCATCATTGGTGTTCAACCTCAGGCATGAGGGTCCAGGGCACTCACAGCTTTGCAGGGGACACTGAGGCACAGCTACCTGTTGTAGCCAGGTTGGGAGACACAGGGGTGGAGGGACTCACCCTCCATGGCATACTTCATGTCCTGGGCAAACAGGTTCCACATTACTTCAGCGCTGATTTTACCCACATTCAGCTCCTGTGGAAACCTGGCAAAAGTCATGGAAGTATGAAAACTTAGCAGACAGAAGCAAGATGGCACAGGCGGCTTTGGCCTTCTCAGCCAAAGGGTAGTGCAGGACAGACAAAGGGATCTGGATTCAAGTTCCCTCATAGCCAATGACTTGCTAAATGTCTCTGCATTGAGGCCTTGTTTCTTCCTTCCATCCATTCATTTACCCACTCATCCATCCATCTACCCATCCATTCACCCACCCGTTTGTCCATCCATCCATCCATCCATCCATCCATCTTTTAATCCATCCATCTAAAATCCCTGATCCTAACTACATATCAAAGTAGCCAAGCGGTCATGGCACCCGAGTTAGGGCTCCCTCTAGCACTTACCTCAGGGAGAAATAAAACACAATAGTTCATTCAGCTAACAGAGATGAAAATTCTACAAACATGTAAATCCACAAACCAAAACTGTGCACACATTCACACACAACTACACAATATACAATATTGTATATTGAAGTACATTCCACAATTTTACACAGTACACAATTAAACCCCTAGACCACAACTATACACAAAATTACACCCACACATGTAAGAGATAATGCAACTTAAATGTAAAACATTTAGTAGAGTATTTTGCACATAGTAACTACTAGAACGACGCTGTTATTTATGAACCTACACACATACAAAATTATATAGTATATATATGTACATACTGTTACTCACACAAATCAATACATATAAAATACATGGCTGATTATACTAGTGATTGTGTACAGACACACAATTTTATGTTTATGTTTGAAAATTATGCCATATTTCTTCCTGGCACAACCACACCCACAACTGCTCCCACATAAACATTTTATGTGTAATTAGACATCACCTTTACATACAAGACACAAAATTGTGCACACACATACACAATGACCTCCAGATAATTAACTACACAGACACACAACTCACTGGTTGAGGCAGGGAGTGTAGGAATTCTTATCTTCCTCGATGATGGACACTATGAGAGTGATCAGCTTGGACCAGAAGTCGAGGTTCTTGATGCTGGGGCCCTGTTCCTCTGGGGGAACTTCCCCCTTCTTGGCCTGGATGGGGCAGTGGAGAAATTGGTCACAAGGGGTCCAGGGATGGGGGCTTCAGTCAGTTCATTATTGAGGTGCAGGAGGTTGGTGAGGAAGGGGCCTCCTTAACGTATATGTGGTTCAGGTGGGAGGTCTGCAAGGGAAGGAACTGTACTCATGTAAACTGGCTCAAGCAGAGCTCATATCCACTCAGCTTCACAAAGCTTAATTAGACTCAGCTCATAAAACTGATTGGGACTGGATTTAGTTGAATAAATTTAAGCCCACTAAACTAAATGGAACTGAAATGAATGCAAATCAGATCCACTTAGCTTAACATATGGCAGTTCTCAGCATTAATTCAGTGTAACTGAACTTGGGCCAATTATACTGCCTGGAGTGGAATTAAACCTCACTGTATTGAATTTCACTCAGTTGGATTGAGCCTAGTCAATTTCTTCAAAATCAACATCAATCTAAATCAAAATAATGTAAATAAATTGACCTGAATTCAACCCAACCCAACTCAACCCAACTTAATCTAACTCAACCCTTCAACTCTACCTGCTCAATTCAGCCTAACATGCTCAGGCCAACTCAATAGAACTTAAGTCAATCAATGGAAATAAATGTATTAATCTCAACTGAAATGAGCCCAACTCAACCCCACTTAACTGAACTCAACTCTACCTGATCTAACAACCCAGCTCATCCTAACTCAAGCCAACTCAACCCAGTCAAGGACAACTTCAACTCAAGTCAACTGAATGGAAATGAATAAATTTTTACTCAGTTAAACTCAACTCAATCCAATTCAGTGCTGCTCATTAAATAGCCAAGAGCAATTTTAACTTAAGTCAACGAAGTAGAAATAAATGGAACTAAACTGATTATAGTTGAACTAAACTCAACCCAATTTAATCCACTTCACCACAACCCAATTCAATTAAGAGCAACTTGATTTCAACTCAAGTCAACTGAATGAAACAGAATGAAATAAAATTGAACTGAATTCAGCTTATGCGTTACCTCCTATCAGAAGCCCAAGTTGAGGTAGGGGCCACTCAGGCTCCCATAGCCTCCAGTGCTAATCTCCCTAGGTTGTAAATTTCTAATTTATACATCTCTCCTTCCTGTAGGGGATAAGCTCCTTGAAATCTGTTTGACAATCCTGGAACATTATATGTATAGATAAACACATGTTGGAAAATCTCAAATAAATTGAGTTTAAATTACCTAAACTGAACTCTACTTTAAAAAATTCAATTCAACTCAACATTTATTGAATTGTGATTCTATTCCAGGCACACTGTACTATGGCAAACTCAGCTAAATTAAACTAAAATCAAATTTATTGAGCACCTACTGTGTAGCAGGTGTTAAGCACTTAGCTGTATTTTATCTAAAGCTTGTATCTCATTGAATCTCCTTCTTAATCCTGAGATATGGGTTAATAACCCCATTTTACAAAGGGAGATACTAAGGCTCAAAACAGTTAACTTATTTAGGAAGGGGCAGATCTGGGACTTAAGCCAAGGCCTTGTTGGTGTTTGCCATTCCCTTCCACCTCATCTTGGGTCCTTACCGGGTCTGTCTGGTATTCCCGACTGTAGAGTTCATGACAGTTGTTGAAGATGTACTCATAAGTAGAGTTGAGGCAGGCTTTCACACAATCCTTCACCACCTGGCTGGCTCGGGGTGGGCTCTGGAGTTCTTGCACCTAGAGGGAGGGAGACAGGCATGGGTGGGCACAACTGGGACAGGAGGTGCCTAGGAAGTGGCTGCAAGTGGTTCTGGGTTTAAGGAAATGTTGTAACAGTGTGAAAGCAGAGGGTCACTGAGAAAGGGCACTGCTCTCCAGGGAAAATGCTACTTGTTTAGGAGCTAAGAGCCCTGGAGAATTCTTCTTAGAGAACTAATGGGACTGGGTCCCCTTACCTACCTTCATCCGAAAGAAGGTGATGCTGGTGAGAAGGTCCACAGTGGATTTGAGGTCCTGGAGTCTCTCCGGGCTGCTGGCTGGGAAGTTATTCTGTTGGGAGGGAGAATAGAGGTGGGGTTGTGAAAGAGGCTAGGGGAGGATGGGAGACAGTGTCTTAGGGGAGATTCAAGAGCCCCCAAGTTTCAGGATGTGGGTTGGAGGTCAATGAGAACACCCTGAAGAAACTGGAGGGGTCTTTTTAGATGCACCAAGCAGGTTGGGCAGGTTCTGCTCACATATGTGTACACATGTCAGAGGAACACATTCCGTGTGTTAAGATGGGTCCTCCCATGGGCATGCTTGCTGGAAGCTGTCCCCTCTGGGCACACATGTGCATGGAGGTAAGTCATCATGTATGCACTTCTCACCCGATACATGGAGAGGTCAATCCGCAGGGAGTTATGCAGTTGGTCCAGGAGCTTCACAAAGCGCTCTTTCTGGGAAGGCAGAAGAGGAGGAGGCTGAATGTCAGCAGAGACTTGGCTGTTGAGTGTAGTGGTAAAAGGTGGCTACCATATTGGCTGAGGGCTTACTATACAGTAAGAGCATCCCATCCACCACTGAACCAAACCCTCATAACATCTGTTTCCATTCTACAGGAGGGTAAACTGAGGCTCAGAGAGAAGTGACTGGTACAAGGTCACACAGCAAGTCAAGTCCAGGTTGGGGATCTAGGAGCCACACAGGGTTGGGTTCTCCCTCATCCCGCAGCCCCTGGAACTGACCCCAAAGTTGGAGGCTGCGAAGCGGTCGGAGGCAGACACGTTGGTGGAGGCGGTGGTATGTGCGTAATAGGCATTGATGTTGGCAAGCAGAGTGCTCATGACCGCAGGCACCCCAGGACACATGTACTTGGAGGAGAGGCAGGCAAAGTGGCTGGTGGGGAGGAGTAAGAGGCACTGGGCCTGGTGTCCAGCCAGCACAGGCCTCAACACCCCCCTAGAATGCCTCCAAGGCAGCATCGTGAGTGGCTCCTCCCAACCCCCCAACCATCCTCTTTCCCTCTGCCTGATTCTGTCCTCCAAGTTTCTCTGTCTCCTCTTTGAGCTGTCCTATTTCTGCCTCTAACTCCAGCTTTCATTCTTATCACTCCAGCCCCCAGCAATGGCTCTTTCCTAACCTCCAGAGGAATTACATAACACTCGCCACACCCACTTCCTCTCTGACTCCTAAGAACCCCTTCCTCCCCAGATCTGCTAGTGTCCCTTGGTGACCACCCCTCCCCGCAATTTCCTGCACCTAGCCCTCATGTCCACCCCAGTCTGCAGCCTCACGTCATGGCTTGGTAGATGGACTCAACACCGTAGCGCATGGCAAATTCATCCACAATCTCCTGGGCTGTCTCATCATAGTAAACCTTCCATGCATCGTCGCCCTTGGCATCTGGGATCTTCACTACCCCATTGTTCTGCATGTCCGTCACAAAGTGGAACAGGTTCTGCCAACACAAGAAAGAAGGTATCAGAGAGTACAAGGGGGCACAATGGGGGAGATCTGAGGTCTAGGGCATCTTACATCATCTATCCATCTGTTTATTCATTAATTCATTCATCTACTCTTTCATCCATCCAGCTATCCCAAATTTCACCTGTCCCCCATTCATTCTTCCAATAATTCATCCATCCATCCATCCATCCATCCATCCATCCATCCATCCAATAGTCCA